TGATTCAAAATGACGAGACGAGATTCCAAACCATAAGAACATTTTCGTATCGAACTCACTAACTATACGTTCCCTCTTTTCAATAAAATGTATCATGTATGTCTCTACGTAAGTTTGTTGGGAAAAAACACATTCAAAAATTGCTTAAAAAAGTAATGACTTAAAATTGAGTAATACTCCAATATCCATGCGTAAGAAAATAGGACATAGAGGAAATACGTAACCATTTTGGTGACTCATGAGTAAGTTATTGGACACGTTTAGTGGACATAACGATGGTTATGTTGTTCTTGTTGTTCTTTGACACGTTATGAAGAAATCGCTTTTCTCTTTGATTACTGGACCAATTGCTTTGAAATTTTCAGTGGTTAAAGATAAAAATTTTCTTCAGAAGGCTATTACTTTTTTTTTGCTATGACGTGAGCAAAATTACTGCCGCTAGGTGGCGCTACGTATCCATATATTTGAGCATAGCTCTCTTGTTAAAATACGTCAACTAATTTTGGGGAAATAATCTAACTTTGAATTAAGTATATATATAATTAGCAATCGCTATTTCAAATCCAATAGCTTTGTTGCTATCTTATTATATTTATTTGTAATTTAAATCTAATTTTATTCAGTATTAGTTCAGTATTCAGTATTTTGTAATCAATATAGAATTTCCGAATGCGGTGAGTCCGAGAAATTGGTCCGAAAATTGCAATTGCCAGGTATTGGCTGTTATTTATCATTGTAACAAATCATTTATACATAATATGTATGGCATGCGTTGCGTTGCGCTGGTGTTCATGCATGTCCAGCTATTGCCATCAAGAAAAATGAATGTAACATCATCCTACACGCAACAAAAGCAACGTGACGTTTCAAATTTCAACTTCGAGCCTTTTATAATGCGACTGCAACTTCACAGTGGGGTAAAGATAATCGTGTGGCATTTGCCGATGTTCATGCATTGGTAAATGACCCACATAATGTAGTCTTGCGGGAGCGAAAGTAAAGTGAAACATCTCAAACGCAACAAAATTAATTAACTTTTGAAAGTAGTTTCGCAATTTCTTCATTGAAACAAACTATTTACAAAGTATATTCAGAGTAACGCATGTATGTATGTGGGATATGTCTTGAGGTATTTTGCTGATGTTCGTGCATGTTTAGTTAGTAACATTGACAAACTCTTGTGATGAAAAATTTTGGCAAAACCAATCTATACGCACCTAAAGCATGATTTTGAATGTACAACGTTCCTTATCCCAAACTCGGAGCATTTTTTAGTCAATAAAAGTTTAATCTTGCATTTTTCGTTTGAAAGTATTTGCAAGATTTAATGCGATTACGTGAAGCATGTACAAACTTGCGTAAGAAAATTTAAATTGAAAGAAATATTCTACCTATAATATGTGATCATGATAGAATAGGTACATATTGAGATATTCGTAATTTTGACATAGTGGTTTCAAAGTATATAGCGGTTTGGGTACTCCTGAAGTATGCGCACCAAGATGTCGCATAACCTGAACCCTAACCTGGTACACAACCTGAGTTCAGGTTATACGCCATCTTGGTGCGCATACTTCAGGAGTTCCGCGATTTGTCTATAGTAATAAATCATGCATGTATAAACACATATATAAATATGGGGTGCCCGTTTAGGGGGCTATATGTGCTGATGTTCGTGCATTATTATGTAACGTATTGTGTAAAAAATATTAAGTAAAACCATAATAAATACATCAAAATGATTTAATGAATTCAGCAATTTTGGCGATGTATTGAAAGCATTTTTGCTATTTTTGAATTAGAAACATTCTCTTTATAACGCATGTAATGGTGAATGCCATGCGCTGATTATCATGCGTGTTTTGCTACAAGCAAATATAAACTTGAGCAAGAAAAATACATTCTACACGTAATAACATAATTACATATTGAATTTTGCACGCTTATTTCGTAACATAGACAAACATGCTCAGAAAAAATTAAAGTAAAACCATCCTACACGCAACAAAAGCGTGATTTCGAATGTACAACGCATGATACGCGGAAATATGTTCACATTACACAAACCAGTCAGGCTTCTAAGATATAGCTTCAGGCATTGAGATAGACAGGATGTGTTTTTTCGATATTCATAGTTAAGAATGCTAAACAGTGTTTATGAGATAAATATCCGTAGGATAATTTGAACTTAATTCTGAAGGGAGAGAGGAAAGGGAGACTGTTCACTAAAATTTGGATTTTTTTTAATTTTTTTTGGGGGGGGAGGGGGGCGATAAGGTATACCCAATTGTCAAATTATGACCTTCCGTTTGTTCGCCGGCTCTTGTATGGAACATAATGTATTATCGCAATATTCATGAATAGAGGCGAAGCGGTAATATGTGAAATTTTTCAGGACAGAATTGGGGAGGGGGTAAATAACCCATAAATGCTAAACAGTGTTGATGACTTGAAAATTCAAATAGAGTGGGATAATTACCTTAATTCCGAAAGAGAGAGGGAAGTTGATAGGACGAATAAGATGGGTTAGAATAAAGTTACTCTGCATCAGGGATGAGCAATTACTTTCCTGAGTTGGTCAGTTGCAGATAAAAAAAACTTGGTTACTGGGTCGGAAGATCAAAACTCAAGATGAAACTAGAAATGAAAATATTTCATTTACAAGAGCTAATCCAACAGCTAAGCTATCGATTATATAATAATAGAAAGCACAATGTGATATCTCAAGAAAGCGAGATTGAATCTGCTCCAGATTGTGCATGTCCATTTATCATATCTCGGACCAGAAGCCCATTAATAATTAGCGACTTATTAATTAATTAGTGATGGGACACGAAGTGTCACTATGGAGTAGGAGCGCTGTTTTGGGGTTCCCCTAACTTTCGATCGTTAAGTCTTCGTTCTCTGACCGATATTCTCGTTTGTAATATATTCAATATCTGTTTACGCTGTTCGATCATTTATCGAAAATTTGGGTATATTTTGATCCATTGAAACACTGGTATATGGTAGTTGGTGAACACTTTGTCGAAACGTCTGGTGTAAGTTCTCTGATATCAGTTCTCTGATATCTGTTTAGGCTGTTTGATCATTCATTCAAAAAAAATTATTTTTATTATTCATGAGAACGTTGTTATATGACATTCGGTAAATTTTTTATCAAATGAACTGATTATTTCCAATTACTTTCTAATTTAAATAACATTTCAAAATAAGGATTGAGTAAGCATCATTATGTCAAAATTAGCATCGAAATTTTTGATGATGTTGAAGATTGTCTATATTGCTGTATATATTATATTCTTGTTGATAATGAACTTGAAAACCTAAAAGTGTATGATCTACTGAAAACACACTACAATTATAAAAAATTAACACGGACCTCCCGAAGTATGCGCACCAAGATGGCGCACAACCGGAACTCAGGTTGTGTACCAATTCAGGGTTCAGGTTGTGCGACATCTTGGTGCGCATACTTCAGGAGTACCATTACCACAGTATATAACTGTTACGTGCAAACTTGATCATTTCACATTTTGAACAAAAACACGTGACCTACTTGATCTCTCAATTCGGTGTGTCAGATAAGATGCAAAATTCCATTGACAGTAACCAGTAGTGCTAACCGGATCGCTGATCTCATAAAATTCCTCAAGACAGTTCTATAGAACCGGTGCGAACCGGCTGTATCCCACCACTGTTTGTAACGTCTTTAAGATCTGATTACGCGCTGTGGCGTTGTCGCACGGTGTATGTTTCCTATCTGCTTGTATTATGTTCGGCGGTTAAACCTGTTATCCCGTGAATCGTGACGACGATAAAATGAGACATTATAAGAAAACGCTGTTACGTTTCAAGTATGGTGCAATCCGTAAATTTACATTAACGCTGGCAATATTCTGTTTCATAACAAATTAATATGAAATTTGCTCTTTTTTTTTCAAAAATTAAGTTTGATTTCGACGTAACAAAAGCTTACAAATATGCTTGTTATTTTTTGAAAAAAAATGTTATTATTTTTTTAATAAGGTGCAATCCGTAAAAATAAATTTATAGCAATAATATTTTGTTACTTAGCAAATTAATCTGACTTTTCTCTAATTTTAGTTCAAAGGCTAATTTTGATTTTGATATAACAATAGCGTACAAATATGCCTTTTTTCACTCAACTCTACTAAACTTGTTTCTGAATTTTCAATATATGTTTACGCTGTTTAATCATTCATCGAAAACTTTGGTAATTTTATTTCCATGGGAACAAAGTTATATGACTTTTGGTACACATCTGGAAAAAATGTCTTTTGTTCACTCAACTTGTTTGTAACCTATTCAATAACCAATTACGCGATGTGGTTTTGTAGCGTAGTGTTTGTTTTCAATCTACTACGTATTATGTTTGCTGTTCAACCTGTTCTCGCATAGATTAAGAAGACGATACAATGAGACTTTACAGAAAAACGCTGTTACGTTTTGAGTGGAAGAATTACCTTTATGGCGAGAATATTTTGTTGAGAATGCTGGATTTATAATAATAGAAAAGGGAAAAGCCACATTAATTTATTTCATAGCAAGTTAATGTGACTTTTCCCTTTTCTATTATTATAAGTTCAAAGTCGATGAAGTCTTGTCTGAAAAAGTTTGATTTTGACCTAACTAAAGCATACAAATATGTTTGCTATTTTGAGGAAAAGATTATTCTATCAGTGTTTTTATTTTTCAATTACCCGGGCTAGATAGTTTAGTTGCTAGAAGTGTTGCTTCTGACCTTGATTCTGCTTTTATTAAAAATATTTTGAATGAAGAATAATTTAAAACAAGTTCAATGAGTGACAAAATTACAGCATACGGCTTTCCTCTCACCGGGGATACATATGTAAATCCTAACCTATCTCCTATCCTATTATGATAAGGAAATACATTGCTTAGAAAAGCCATGTTCATAATGATAACGCTCAAATTTCTTCTCACAGTGTTCCATTACTTACAATAGAAATGAAATATTTGGTGATATCAGCTGTCTTGTTTGTGTTGATGTTACGTGGGACAGATGCAGCAATAGAGGCACCAGAATGTGAGTTATTTTATTACATTTTCTACTTTTTGACCCTTCGTCAGCGGATGGTCCTCGTGTACTTTTCACACCCTTTATAAAAACTGTTTTTCTCCCTATTCAAACGTGCTAGAATTACCAATCAAGTATCTCTAAAATTGATTTTTAGGTCTCTTTCTGCGCGGTGTTGCTAAAGATCGATTATCGCTTTTCTCCAACGTGGTGAGCTGTTGAAAATGAATTTTCAAGAATTGTTGTTGTGGAATTTTCAATCAACGTCAGCCGTAGTAAACAGATTAATTAACCAGCTTTAAAGAGTCAGAGCTTGGAATCTGAATTCTCTCGTTTTGTCAACAATTTCAAGTTTGAATGCGGTTGAGCTATATTTTACGATTGTCACCAAACAACAAAAATATGAAACATCGCTCCATACATCAATGGGTCTTTCCCCGATCATCGCTTTCTTTGTTCACATCCGTAACAATGACTAATCAGTTAAAAGCGAACAGTGACTTCAGAATTGCAATTTCTGCAGTCGTTCAGGGGGACTTCATCTTACAAATATGAATTTATCTTCCTACATGTCTATACTTATAAGTGCATGCTTCACTAAGAACTGTTTCACGGAAAGAGCGATGAATACTTCATAAATTTATTCTGCGAACAAACAGATTAACTTAGTTTTATGATTTTTCAGCGAAGCATTGCGTCCATTCACTCCATGCTCTACCAGACAAGTGGAATAAGATCGTCAGCCCTGGGTTTCCGAATGGAATCAATACGCAGATACAGTGCAGCTGGATGTAAGTGTTTAAATATTGCCCGTCGGGAGAGATGGAAAGTTTGTTTTCCTTTCTACTCCTAGCCCACTGTTTATACCAGTGGCTCCCAAACCGAGGTCCAATTACGACCCGCGTAACGATTTAATGTGACCCGCCGAACTTGAGCGAAATAGTTTGACACCATGTGGTTCTTTCATTTAGCGTTCATGATACCACCAATTGTTACGTCACTACTACAGTTTAAGCACGTGTATATTCGTAACAATTCAAGTATACTGATATCTTAATTATACGTAACGGCACCGGACCTTTGCGGGCGCTCCCATCTCCCGACCCGCGAATATCATTCCGCTTCTAATTTTGGCACCCAGTCAATCAACTTTGGGAACCACCTGTCTATATGGTATCTCCGACACACCAATAAAAGTAGAGAGCTGATAAAGGAATTTAAAAATCTTGAGATGTATACGTGGATTTTCTTTTCGTCTAAACGGGTAATGGGCTATAAGGGCTGTATTTATACATATGGCGGCCCAATATAGCCCTCTATGAAAGACGCCCCTCAAATGGCGATTGCGACCAAACACTCTCCACTATTTATAACCCACTGTATATATCGCAGATCTCTACAGAGTAGGTCATTTAATTAGCGATTGAGACTATATGTCCATCTCTAATTTGCTTGTCAATATAGCAGCCCAATAGCCATCAATGAAGGAGGCAATTCAAATGGCGATCGGGACCATATAAGCACGCCTAGTTCCAACGTACTATGTCGATATGACAGCCCAATAGCCTTCTGCGGAGGAGTGCACTTAAATGGCAATTTAAACTGTTAATGTATTCCCAATTCATGTATTGGGCTTATAAGCAAATTTAAACAAAGCAAATACTAGACTCTCTCGCAATGTTATTCGAATGCTTTACATTACAACATCAATCATTTTATTCTGCCTGCTATCTGATGGTAAACAATATATTAGATTTCAAACCGCTCACCCTGTGAAATAGAATATGAGTGTAAAAACAAGATAGGACATTCTCTAATTTCAGATCGTTTAAACGCATTTGCTCTATAGTTTTTGCTTATTGCCTGCTTTTCAAAGAACATGGCTCAATGATTTTTGAGAGTTTCTAGATACAAGCGTTTGATATATCTTTTAATCTCGTAGTTTCAAATTGAAAAATAATTAATATTTCCAGGATTACGTCCAACCCTGGTTATCGTATAAAACTTGCGTTCCGTACTTTGAATGTGACGGGATCGCGAAGGAGTTGCTTCACTCAGTTCGTTGAAATATTTGACTACAAAATCGGTCATTCTGCGGTAAGAACTTCACACTTCATTCCAATTTTTTCAACTGGTGGTTAAAAATTGAGTTGAATTTTATTTGGGTGGGATATTCCATTAGATAAATTATTCTCAACAAATTAATTATTTTAGAATTTTTCTTGGGTGAAATTTTTCCGGGCTGGTTCACTAAACGCCGTTCCCTTTTAAATAATATGGCGGATACCGGGTAATCTGAACGGAACGAGCGATTATGCAAAGGACCAGTGACAAGGGAGCTGATTAGAATCGGGACACACTAAAACACTACCACAATTTGTCTCAATTGTTAATGAATAATGAACTAACAATGATTGACATAGAATCCAGAGGCGGGTTGTGAACCTGGTATAATTTTCCTAGTTGTTAATAAATAATGAACTAACAATGATTGACACAGAATACAGAGGCGGGTTGTGAACCTGGTCCAATTTTCCTAGCAGCGAATGATATTCAGGACTTAAATATCTTTTTATATTTTTAGGGAAAGTTTTGTGGAGCGAGTAGACCCGGTGATTACGTATCTTGGGGTGAGTTTTCCCTAAATTTCAATCATTGTTTTATTTCTTTTTTAATATTCTGTCAATAAAAACTATTTCTCCTTCTGTTTTGATTTATCTCGCAGTACCTTAAACAAGAATCTCCATAACTAGCTTAGTTGGTAAAACGTTCGATTCTTGATCCAACGGTCGTGGGTTCAATCCTCAAGTAGGATACTCATATATTAAACTCCTCTTCTAGGAAGACACAAAGCCTACGCGAATAAAAAAACGCTGTTCTGCTTCCAGAGCAACAAGCTACCTCTTTAGAGTTTAAAAAGATATTTAGTTTTGAAGGAAATTCAATTATATTTCGAATTTATAATTTGAAGCCCAAATTAGAATTAAAAAATCTTTTAGGTTTTAAATCAAATTTAATTATGTTTAGAATTTAGAAATCCGAATTCCATGTCCAATTACTGACACTGGGGAAATTTGACAATGATTTCAACTAGGCTTTTATGTTGAGCTTTGTTCAAATGGATGAATTCCCGTCGAATACATTTTCTGAATACGGTAACAAGTGCACGGTTCCGTCGTCTGAGGAGTTCGATTTATTTCGGTTTGGTGATTTTCGAGTGCATTCGCATCTTTGAAAAAAATGCCTTGAGTTCAACTCAAATTCAGTTATGAATTACCGCCCCATTGCCCCCCCCCCCAAAATATAAATTAAAAATAAAAAATCCCTCCAAACACTTCTTAAAGTACTAACTTAATTTTTTTTATTGCCAGGAACACGGGTACGGTTTGACCTGCAAGGAGACACATCAGGAGAAAACACAGAAGGATTTGACTTAAGATATATAGCTACAAAAGAGCCGGGCGGATTTAAAAGTAAGTAAATAATTTTCAGTCTTTGGGAGGCTAGAGGGCAAGTCATTGACTCGACTTAAATTGGACTCGACCCCAGCAAATTTCAATATTTTCCATACGGCACATAATATACGACTTATACGTTGAAAAAAGCCTTGTGCTAATAGGTACTATATATTTCGTTTCAGGATTGGGTAGTTAAGGTTGTGAGTGCGTTTGAACCCGAGATATTTAATCTCTGTTGCCGACATAGTCGAGATAACGCTATAATTACTAGGCTGATTGAAGGAGTAAATACAATACTCTATCATTTATCACAGCACATTGGACGTTCCCACTAAAGCCCAAGAAAGGGGGAACAAAGAAGGCAAAGAAACCTAAAGCTGGTAAACCGAAAAGGAAGAACAAAGGTCCGGAAAGCTCTGCATCCCAAAAACCGATGACATCACAGGCCATGCTAGGTACCAAAAATACAATTATTATACAGTTTCGTGTACATTCATAAACGAATGCGATGCATCAAGTGCAATTTCATAATAGGCCCTAGTTACTAGGCTATCGCGCACTCAGCAATGCTACATTGCTAGACCCATTATGCAACAACCGCCAGGATACTGCGTCTTCCAAAATACCCACAACTTAGCCCTGTCACGCTAACAACTAGCTTTCTTACATTCTTCTAACTGACGTAAATTCTTATTTCCAGACGTTATAACGGTAGCAGAGAAAGTGGAAGTACCTTTGAACATCTACATCATAGCTGGAGTTGCAGCGGGGGGAGTTGTAGCTTTGACGATCATTTTTATTCTCAATCAGATCATATAACTTCAGACGTGTAGCTGGGCCACAAAAAAATTGTTTTTCCTTGTTCACGACTAATTAAAAAATTAGCGCCGCGGGAAAGGCAAGAGGACAATGTGGCTCTCCCTTACTCTTCCGATAATAAAGGCACCCGACAAAACGGTAAAAGACGATCGGGTTGTGCTGCCTGTTTCACACCCATGGTTTAGCCACCCTGCTACGGTTTATATATCTTTATTATATCCTGATAGATCACTTTGTTCTATTTGAGAAAATTTTTGAAAGACTTTGCTATGTTTCATTCAGCAGATATTAAATGTTGAATATTTAAAATGATATGAATTGCATTTTAAATTTTATAATTTTCCTTATACAACTTGATGGGACATTTAAAAGGAAGACATGATGTTATTGTCAGTAACAAGTTATTGTTGTCTTCTGTGTTTAGACGACTCAAAACTCTTAATAACAATATCTTTGCATTACTTGGACGGTGAAGGAAGCATTATTCTACCAGCGGTTATGTGAACCATCCTACGACGGCGAGGATTTCAGCAATTGTATCTGAATACTCCACAATATTGAAAGCAAGAAACGTACCAGGTTAATCACCGTTGAAATGACATGTTGGTACCTATCGTTCCCTTTATTTACGTTGGTCCCAATCGACTTTTTATACCCCTTTTATAATATGACATAAATAGTTAATCAGACACGCTAGTACGTTTCCCAATATAAATTTGAAAAGCTTATTTTTCGTCGCTTTCCACTAAAACGCGCCCAAATTACGTAGCGCAAATGCATCCGAACATACGCCGGTAAGAAGAGAGAAATTTCAAAAAATTTCGAGAAAAAATTTCTCACTTTTAACGCTGTGGTCAACACGTGATTGATATGCGAGAGAAAGAGTTCTCTTTTGGACGAGCTTTACGTAGGATTTTGAAGTGAAGTGATATTCGTTTTATCGAAGAGCATTTGATCGCGTGCTGTCTGGTATCTTTGTTTGTATATTATGAGCCGGAGAACGTTGCTCGCGCGTTCAAAATAGTTCATTTTCAACTAACAACAGATTCTTTGTTTATTTTTAAGCTTTGAAATATTCATACAAATAAAATTGACCTTGTAGCAAAATAAAAATTATACATAAAAAAATATGATGACGTCACCGTAATTAAGAACACTCGGATCAAGCATGGATAATTTAAACTCAAACATTTTAAGTTTTGAAATTGGTTTTGTTCACATGCAGACCTCTATGAAATACTATTGACCCCCCAAAATACATTTAATTTAGCCATAATCCCAAATTATGACACAGGGCACCCCTTTATGACCAGGCCGATCCTATAGAGTTTCACGGCCATTGACCCCGGTTGCTTAGCTGAAAACTCCCCGTCGACGCCGTTTCAGGTTCATAGGTTCCGAAGTGTTAGCCAGACGACTGCAGCGAGCATTAGTAGTTTATTAAACTGTTTAATTTGAATTGGCTTTTTCTTCATTTCATTTTAGGACGAAATCGCATTGAGGTACAAATGAGTTTACAAATACCGCCAGGAATAATGCTATCCGCCGTCTTCCCCATTTTCGGCGATAGTCGCACGATAAACCATGGTCCATCGGCCAGATGATTCAGAGTATAGTCGTGGAGACGCGTGAACAGCGTTTAGAGTACTTTAACCTGCCAGTGACAGAATTCAAAATTCGAGGAAACGGGTTCCTTTTTGCAACTCAGGAACCACTTGTTTAGCGCGATGCTTCGTTGAGCCGTTTTAGGTCCATTGGGTGTACAAATGAGTTTACAAATGACGCTTGAATTGATAATTAAAAAAAAACTTCAACCTGCTAGTGATAGTATTCAAAATTTTAAGAACAGGTTCCCATTCGTATCAGATTCTCTAAGAACAGTCTGTTAGAATCAAATCATGCTTGATTTGGTAGAAGCATACCCAGTTCAACAACAATTTAGTGTTGATGAAGGTGCAGAAAAAATGGCGAAATAAAAGGGATTAAAACACGCTGTACATCTGTTAACGGCTGTCATTTTCTGGTCGGTTTCTCTCGTTTCGCCGAATTGGCAAAACTTTACCATAGTAAATCACCATATGAGTGACCGACGACTTCTCTTTGAAGTGCGGCGTCTGAAAACACGTTCTGATTTCGGACCTTGTCAGCCTTTAAAAGGGGGAGGGACTAATTACTCTACAAGATACTTTAATGTCAGATCACATCATAATTAGCAGGTGTTTTACAGGCAAATACATAAAACATATTACCAGATATATATAGTTAACAAAAGGCAAGCAGCAGTGGCGGCGCGTGGTCATTTTGACAACCGGGGCAAGCTACTGCGGGACCAAGTCACCCCCATCTACGGGGACAGGATGAGCGCTGTAAGTTCTCCCATCATTTTATGAGTATAAAAACCATTCCATCGGTAACAACCAATCGGCAAAAGCGACAATTTTTAGCGATAAGAAAGTGTCTTTAAAACCGGTCCAAGTCAAGGGATTAATAAATATAGACATAGTTTATTTTGAAACCTCTTTCAAAAGGAAAGGCAATATTTACCCAGATAAATACAATGACATATTAACAGAAACTTCGGGAAAGCAAACAAAACCTAAAATAAGATTTAAAACGTTACTATGAAGAAAGGAAAAATAATGCAAAGATAAGGACATGCGTCGCTCGCTCATAGATATATATGCTGCTAGACTTCTACTGCTTGAACATATATGCAACACGCCGCGGTTTCTTGGAAGCAAAATGCTCAATAACGCGCTGATTAAAGTCATGCATCCCAGAAATAACGTCTCTGTGAATGGATAAAACAGACAAGGAATTTAATCTATCTTGCTTCATTGTGTTTTTGAGATACGTTTTAATACGCTTCACCGTGCTGAATGTTCGCTCTGCGTCGGCGGAAGAAATAGGCGTCGTCAAAATGATGTCCAGAAATTTTGCAGACGCCGCAAAGGTAGTTACTAGAGTGTTATCTATGAGGAACCCATAGAGCGCGCAAGTTGATGTGATGTTAAAAAAAGTTTGATTGGTGTATATACATCGCAATTCATTTTCCAATTTACCCACGTTTATCATGGGGTAAAATTTGGAGACAGTAGCCAACAAATGGATGGGAAACTGACGTGCAAATTTTGAAAATTTTTTGGGGTTCATCAAAGAGAACGCGGCAAGGTGTTTAGTTCGCAGACGATCGCCTATTTGATTCACCAGAATGTCACAGCATTCCTTTGCAGACAAAATCAAACGCTGCGTTGTTTGCCCGCGGCGTAAAGAAGCACTCCATGTGTCGTCGTATTTTATTGTTTCCCGGATACGAGATACAGCATCGCAGAAGTCTGAAATACACGACTGCACAGACGCTCCATCCATTAGCCTTGACTGCAATGCGCTGTATAATACATCCACGTGATAGAATATTGTGGAGAAAAAGCGAGAAAAAATGAAAACTCACCATCTTCTAGCAGACGCTTTAGACCTGCTGCCTCCCTCACAGAGCGTTCGTCCCAAACCGGAGAGCTCTGAATGCCATTGAAACACTCAATGAGCTCAGACCTAATTTCGGACACGCCCTGCACCACGCGTGATTGGAAGTTCCAACATGTTGGTGCACAAGCTGGGAGACGGCGGCTACATATCTGGCGAAGGAGGTCAGAGCGCTTCGGCGAAACGGGAAAAAATGAAGAAAACCCCGAAACATTTGCAAAAAATATACGGACGAGAGGGGTATCAAGACACATATTTTTAATAACGAGGTTAAATTGGTGTGCATAACAATGTAAAAAATGCGCATGAGGAAAATCTTCTTTTATATAAACTTGAACACCATGTTTCGACCCACTCATGACTGCCGCGCCGTCATAAGTTTGAGCTATCAATTTTGACTTCGCGTTGTAAGGCTGTAACACTTCTTTCAGTACAGCCGATATCCCGCAAGCCGTGCGATCAACGATTGGTACAAAGCTGTGAAATCTCTCGGTAGGTTTACCATCTTTCACAAACCGAAAAATCACAGCCAGTTGGGAAACGCACGTGATGTCAGTTGTCTCGTCAGACTGAATCGAAAGAAACTGGCAATTCTCAATTTCCAGAGCCAAATGTTGTAAAGAAATTTATACATTGAGTCGAGCAAATCATTTTGGATATCCTTAGATGTCCCTTTCGAAACAGTTGCGGCATCAAGATGATCTCTCAATACTGTATCTAGGGATGCGGTGTATTCCACCATATCTAAAAATACCCCTCTATTAGAAGAGCCAGCCCGTTCATCGTGCCCACGGAGGGACAGCTCGTGACAACCAATGAACTTCAAAATATCTATCAATCGACCGAGAACATGGCGGTTTTTCTCGACGTTTTGGTTGGGCCGACGAATAGAAACCGCGCGTCCTTCATCCAACTGTGCTGCACTATTAACATTTCCGAATGTTCGGTATTTTACTGCATTTTCCAGTTGCTCCATAGAAGATTGATGATCCCTGGCACGCTCGGAAAGATGTTTAAGATCTCTAAAACCAAATTTACACCAACGTGAGTCACGGGCGGTAGCAAAAAGTAGGCAATAAAAACAAAAAAGTGCATTTTTGTCCTCGCTGTAACACAACCATTCGTGTTTTTTATACCAAGTTTCTGCGCAGAATGTACGCCGAGGCTTTCCTCCGTCATGGGATTGTTCCAGTGAACAATTTTTTGGTTGATAAGGCCCAAGACGTTGTACCTCTAATTTTTGTTCCAGCGGCAGCTGCGAAAACGGAGTGCATCAAACTTATTCATTATGAGGTATAAGGCTAAGAAATGCGAAGCCGGAAAGAAGTGAGGAGCTCAAAAGGAATGTGGAAAATCGAAAGCAAATGGACTAAAGGTCTCTAACTGATTCAAAAAGCGAAACAAGCGACAAAAACGAAGGCGAGGAAACTATCAACTCTTCAAGCAACCAACGAACGAGAAGGAATGCGTGAATATGTCAACACGTTGTTGTAAGAAACGTCGGCATTGTGTCGTCATATTTTCGGGTCTAGCCCCGATCGGCCCCGATGATTTAGTAAAAGAAACAGAAAACAAACGAGACAAACGCGGCGAGTGGAAGATAAAAAAGAGAATACGATATACAATGAGCAACCGGGGCAAAATCGGCGTCGCCCCGTCGACGTTCGGCGAAGGCTTTGCGAGCGAAAAATGAACCATGTCGGGAGAATATGGCTAGTGTAGACAGTCTGTGCAACCGATATTGAAGTATTTTTCGAATATTTTTTATTATACCGAAAAAACAACCGGGGCATTGCCCCGATTGGCCTTATTGACGCGCCGCCACTGGCAAACAGACAGAATGCCTGAAACGTCCGGAAAAAACACCTACAAGATAAGAGAGGACGGAATTTTGATATGCATAATATGCATGGAGTTTGAAAATTTTTCATTGAAAAACTGCCAAAACCTGGGTGCGTATTATCTACGGGTACGTATTATACACGAAGAAATACGGTATATCGACTATTCTTTTTTAGACTTTTGATTCGGCGAGCTACTCGAGACAAGGGATCGCCAAAAATTTTATTATATTGGAAGGGGTCAAGAGCCTGATAGTTTGGGAAGCCCTGATATATATCATAGGCGTAATTGAAATGATAAAATAGAAGCAGCGGGTAATTTGGACTTGGAGCAGTTTGCATCCACGTTCTTGGAATGTCTTGGTAATAAAAGAACACGATTTTGTTTTTTTAGAACCACAACATGGTTCTCTATAATTAGGGAACCTGTTCTTAGAAAGTTTAATGCAAATGGAAACCTGTTCTTAAAATTTTGAATTCTATCACTAGCAGGTTGAAGTTTTTTTTAATACAGGCGTCATTTGTAAAATCATTTGTACACCCAATGGACCTAGAATGGCTCAACAAAGCATCGCGCTAAACAAGTGGTTCCTAAGTCGCAAAAAGGAACCTGTTTCATCGAATTTTGAATTCTGTCACTGGCAGGTTAAAGTACTCTAAACGCTGTTCATGCGTCTCCACGACTATACTCTGAATCTTCTGGCCGATGGTTCATCGTGCGACTATCACCGCAAATGGGGAAGACGACCGATAGCATTATTCCTGGCGGTATTTGTAAACTCATTTGTACCTCAATGCGATTTCGTCCTAAAATAAAATGAAGAAAAAGCCAATTCAAATTAAACAGTTTAGTAAACTACTAATGCTCGCTGCAGTCGCCTGGCTAACAATTCGAAACCTATGAACAATGAACCTGAAACGGCGTCAACAGGGAGCATTCAGCTAAGCAACCGGGATCAATGGCCATGTTAAACGATTGGTTGCTGAAATTGCTGAGATCCTCGTCGTCGTAGGATGGTTCACATAACCGCTGGCAGAATAATGCTTTCTCCACCGTCCAAGTAATGCAAAGATATATTATTAAGAGATTCAAGTCGTCTAAAGTCACAGAAGACAACAATAACTTGTGCCTATCACTGACAGTAACATCATGTCTTTCTTTCAAATGTCCCATCAAGTTGTATAATGAAAATTATAAAATTTAAAATGCAATTTATATCATTTTAAATATTCAACATTTAATATCTGCTAAATAAAACATAGCAAAGTCTTTTAAAAATTTTCTCAAATAGAACAGAGTGATCTATCAGGATATAATAAAGATATATAAACCGTAGTAGGATGGCTAAACCATGGGTGTGCAACAGACAGCCCGCGGGCCAGAACCCGGCCGTCTTTTACCGTTTTGTCGGGTGCCTTTATTATCGGAAGAATAAGGAATAGCCACATTCTCCTTCTGCCCTTCCCGCAGCGCTCTGGTTGCCGCTAATTTTTCAATTCGTCGTGAACAAGAAACAACAATTTGTTTGTGGCCCAGCTACACGTCTGAGGTTATATGGTCCCCCGACAAAAAATTCCCTGTTTTAAACCCTTCCCAACCGTAAAAAACGTAAAATCGCATAAACAAACAATTTTTAATAATTGATAATTTTTATAAGAAACATAAATTGCATTTTTAGATTTAGTCAAATATTGTTTTGTTCGTCGTACAGCTTAGCAAAGCTAATATTGATTAGGTATTCTTACTTCTAATCACATTAATAGGAGTTAATTTACTTTGAAACGATTGAAAGACCTGAAGGTGTGGTATTTTCGCGAGACAAAACGATTTAGATTCTAGCTAATATCCGAACTTCATTTGGTGACAACGTTCTAGAAAATTATTTTCGGATGCCAATAAAGATAAAAATAAAAAATAAATTCTGATCAATAATAAAACCAAAAAGGAAATATAAGAACAGACACTCATTACGGTCAAATATGCAACAAAAATTATTGAGTTTCCCATAATTGGTTTTATGATAATTTTATTTTCAAGTTTTCTAATCAGTTTATATGAGAAATAATTTTATAAACTTAAAAATTCCATAATAAATAGAAGTTACTGATGCCGTGTTTTCCCGGTATAAGATTTAAATTTTCTCTCGAAAATTAACACCGGTGCTAATTTTCGGCGGATGTCTTTTGTTTTCATTTATCAAAAACAAAATTACAAAGTAAAGAATTGCGAGATTTCCAAATATACAAAATATTAAAACCGATATTCATTTACTTATAAATAACACGTTTTCAATAAAAAAAAAAATTGCTCTATTGACCAGGTCTTATTTTAAGGCAGGGGTTCTCAACCTGGGGTTCGCGAACCCCCAGGGGTTTACGAGAAGATTTCCAGGGGTACTTGGATGGAAGTCAAGTTTTTGTGTGTTGTTTTTTTAGAATATCCTTCGTTTTTTTACGATATCCTTCAACAAAGGAAAACTGAGCAACTACAAGATGAAAATGCATGCCAATTGAAACTCAGCGTAGATTTTCCCTGAATAGCGTTGTTGTAATTGTGACACAAAAATGTGAAATGCACGGCTTTTCAGCCGAACTGTGAAATTTCAAAAGACAATGTGCTGCGAGCATTGCATGAAGTGATATGCTAAATCATCAGGGGGTCAACACAAAAAAGGTTGAGAACCCCTGTTCTAAGGGGAGGGCTTATATTATAATCATTTTTAAAATTTAGGCTAGGTCTTTCGAGGAAACACGGTACTAAGACATCATCTATGAAATATCAATTTTTATTTAATTTATTGCACATAGGTACATGGGAATGCCACGGATGTAAACAAACCAAATTGCAAACAATTTATTAAATAGCTATTTATCATTCACTCGGGAACAAATTAGATTGAAATATTAAATTTAAACTTTCTTAAACACTTCTAAGTAATACAATGAAAATAGTAAATTCGGTATAAATATTTTGGACAAAATACAGCTCTGCGGAAATACATACGCAATAAAGTCTAATAAATGACTCACTTGTAGGCTCACCATACGTTCGGTTTACACGAGGCAGTCCTGATTTTAGCAAGTTGTCCCACTGTTTCGCCCGTTAAACCTAAATGTCCCAGGTATGCAGTATGACAGTCATATATATATTTTTTATTTATTCAAATTTAGAATAAAATCCACTGATTCAAACTCATTTCACTAGTTAGAACCAGATAGAAACAAATTGAGACAATTGAGAAATATTTGTGGCAAAAACCAATAGGGGAAATTTGGTGCTCCCGTAGTATACTTACCAAGATGGCGAACAATACTACGGGAGCGCCGGGTATTTTAATAAACTTACAGCTAATTTTGATGCCTATAATTTACCCACAATGGTATGCAAAAATGTTAAATTATTACTAATCTTCGGTAAACTAATCAAGGTCGGCTTGTCAAATCTGCACTCTCGCGGTTTTTGTTCCAGATATATGGTAAGCCTTCACATTTGTATACGCGAACATGATCCCCATCACATCGTTTCAGTTTATAAGCCCAAGATGCAATTTAGTGGAATCAATTGGAGGAAGCAAATGAATATGCAAACATGGTCATTTCAATCCATCAGATTGTCTCTTCTCAAAATTTGAATCTTACCCCAAATGTTACGTCTACATATAACTAGGCTTACAATATTTATGAAACTAAAACCCGAGACAAATTTGGATTTGGCAAACCTCGATTCAATTTTTAGGCTTAGTAATATTCGAATCATATAGAAACAGACACTTTCTAATAACACATAGGGTGTCCATGAAGTCGTTTTTAAAATTGCAAAGGGAATTTGTCGATGCCATTTATGGTTTGGGCCCTCACAGATGTATTGAATCAAGTAAAAATACTTAAACAATTACTGATGAAAAATCAACAAACCTGGTTAAATATATTGAGTATTGACTTGATAACAAACTTGAAATTGTGAAGAGACTCTATGGACACCCTGTATAATAATCATGACGTAACAATATAGTAGTTCTCTCTCTCTCTCATTAAACTGCCGAAGTAAGTTGGAAATCAGTGATAAATGGGCTGCTTTCTAACAAAATATTTCTTAATAATATTGAATAGAAAAAATATTTATGACTGCCATATTGCATGGTCGTGACATGTAAATTTACCATGCGGGGCGACGGGACAGCTTGTCAAAACCGGGACCGTCCGGCTAAACCTGGACGGCAAACCTACATAACCTCCAACATGCCTATCATATCCTATTTATTTCTGTTTGCTACCAGGACGTTCTAGAAGACAAGACGAAAAGGTTTTTGTTTTCAAAACTGATAAACAAGTCCGACAAACAAAAATATCGCTAGTTGTAGTTGTCCTACTCTTCATCTGTATCGTGTGCCCGAAATAGAGTTTTGATTAAGCTATATATGTAGACAACAATCATTTGAATTATTTTTCGTTGAGTAAACATTCAATGTCTCACGTTAGAAATCATTTTCACAGTTAGCTCCGTGATACTGCCAGGAAGGATAAGATTTCATAACAAAAATTCTTCCCTCGTTATCTGACAAATTTTTTTTGTCTTTTGATTCCACAATCAATGTTCAAAGTCATATTTAATTTTCACAGATGGCTCCGTAATATTGCCAAAAAGGAGGAACAGTAATAATCCCTTCCCTATATGTTGACTTTCGATCGACACGAACAACAACAGTACTCGATTCATCGGAGTAAGTACGTAAGTACTTAGTAAGAGACGCAGTTTGATTTTTTGTTGAATAAAGCTGACCGTTCTGTTAAAATATAAAACAGTTATTAGATATCTTTCTCATATAAAATGATCTGACGGATTAAAACATAAGTATTTACTTTCTAGTAAGAAAACTAATTAAGCGTAACACTACTACGTGATAATTCTAAGCAATAACACGTCAATGCGCACATAGTCTATTTGAGCTGATGTCTGGGAATTGATGTTATTGGAGTTGGAACTGGAGACCAATATTTTAAGTACTAGAAGACATGATTAAGTAGAGTCAAAAATTCAGGAAGAAATTATTGAACGAACTGAAAGAGGCTGATTCGGGAACAGTAATTTGAATGAAACTTTTTGTATTTTTATTTTTTACCTCAAAATAGTTGAAATTTATTGACAAATAAAATGTGGTAACAATATTTCTCATATTTTACTGACGAGTTAATCTAGGGCCACATTCAGATCAACATACCTTGTAAGTCATTCCTGTACGAACTCCAATCCGCGACCGCCCGTGAGGAATAATTGTGTATAAATAATCTTTCAGTTTTTTGAGGTGTGTGAGGTCATAAATATTAGCCAGTTTGTTTTCGCAAAAAGATTTGGCAACGCTTAAGGTGACGTTCGTCTTGCCATAAATGATCACTCGGAAACATTTCGAATTGTAAGTAACGTTGCATATCCCTGAAAACAAAAATTACTGTCAGCAAAGTTCGGAATCAGATGCTAGAAAAATTCATTATTAAATTTTATTCATAGCTCTATTTCTATTTATTTTTTGTTGGACGATTTTATCCGTCTTTCATCCCCAAAAAGGATCCGTACAAACCCGATACTGTTAAATAAATAGCTGCTATATTCGGAATAACCGACTTCTCCGACATTTCACATTATCAACTCATTTTATAACCTCCTGGGTGAGGGATGGACTGGGGGTTTAATTCCGATATGTGTAAATTGCACCCACGCGTGCTAAAAACACACACATTGACTGGACCACTACAAATTGGAAATATTGGTATTTTTCCCGTTCGGCATTGTCCACGCAAATTGGTGAGGTGGTGTAACCTTTGTAAACTGAACACACTCGTTTATCAAAATATATTATCTGAGCATTCCATACTTGACATGTACTGGCGAAATATTTTTGGTCAAGCAAGCTAGTTGGCTGTCTGCCTATTCAGTGTAAATACAACAACAAAGAATCTTAGTCTAACCTGTTTTCGCAGTCAAAGTCGACTCCTGGAACGATTGAGTGGAAGCAATCGAAGTGATCGATCGAGTTGTGAACATGTTTTCAAGCATAGTTGTTGTTGTGAGGTCACGAATTTTCGTACTACTTCTTGTTGCAGATGACGTAACAGCTTTAGTGATGTCATTACCTTTAGTGGTGGTAACGGAAGTGGTGTCATCCAGCCCATTTGGAGTTGTTGCGTCAAACTTGGTGATCTGGGTTGAATGAACCTTGTTGCCATGGTAAATTTCGGTTGTTATGGTGACTTCATCAATCTGCTTATCCAGTAACGCGTTTTCCAATGTTTTAGCCAATTTCTCTCTCAATTCTGCGCAAAATAAAAGTTATAACGATATTTCTTGATTTCTACTTTGCTATTCGGTATATCCGACTGCCAATCACGGTTGATAAAATATTGACTCCAACGCCAACTTTCAAATTTAGTTTTTAAAAAGAAAAGTCTTGATTCTTGCTTGTTAGAACAGCGGTTGTCAAAATTTCACACCCTGTAGCTTCCTTATAATGAACTCAAAACTTGTGGTCCCTTGATATTTATATAAAAATTAGCTATTTTTGTACCTAAGGCGTTTCCATTATTTCATAAGCACGTTGAATATTAAAAAGTCAACAACGAGTGCATCACAGTCAGAGAACAAATCACCATAAAGTATACTTTAAACCTCTCAATGGGGAACCACGGAGCGTTAAGATGGCCCACAATTCTACCCTCAAAATTGATTTTATTTTCCCCTTTTCAAGAAAACTCTCCGTTGTACCTAATTTTATAGCTTGATGATGTTATTACAAAAGGTGTTTTTATAATGGTAATTATAATCATTCATATTCATATAAACAATATAAATACCACTGTAATGATAAACGGGATTGGGCAACAGTGCTAAATAATTTCGCTCGAGAACCACTGCTTCAAATTATTGCAGTAGTCTTATCGTTCCCAGTAAGGATCGTTGCTTGTTTACCCCAGACAGATGCTCTGCTGCCTCCTAGGGGCCTAGTGCCTTAATCCAGCGGTTCACAAACTTTTTGTTTGTGCGTCGCCCATTTATCAAGGAAAAACTGAAGGCGCACTTACACAAAAAAAAATTTGACGACGTTAAATGAAACTCAATTTTGATGACCTTGTAACATAGGCCCAAAGAATATAGTCGAAATGTCAACTCTTTTTACTCATCTGTACATGATTTTTTTTTCGGAATACTAGAAGATCACTCATGTTCGGTGAACTCGGTTCAGCAGTTAAATTTTCGATGAGCACTTAGCAAATCCGCCTTTGGTAACCGCTGCCAAAAAATCACTCCATGAAACAGAATACCGTATTAAGTTAACCCATAACTCACCATGTTCATTCTTTGCCTAAAATATAAAACAATAAATTTGAGTCGGGTACAATAAGGTTAACAAACATCAAAATAAGCGTAATACGATCCACAATTACTTACCGTGATCGTTTCCTGGTGGCGGTATGACGTCGTCGCAGCACTGCCTCTGAATTGAACTCTCACATAGATTTCGACTGGAAATGCAAAAAAAAATTTCCACAGTTATTTTGCTAAGCGAGCATAAAATACGAAATTTCCACGTGTTATTACTAAGATGGTTTTAACGATGAAAGCGTTTGACCTGGCTGAGTTGACATCGCACATTCTAGGGCTGGGAATGTTTAATCGGTTAACCGATTTAAAATGGTTAATGGTTACAATTTATTTTAAGCGTTAACTGACATCTTTATAATGTACAATTTATTTAAAAATGATTAGTTCATCGCAAATTTATCTTCCGTGGCGTTTAATTCAAAATAATATCACTGACTGTGTTTCTAAAGACCCAATGAATATATGAAAAATATACCCATGATACTTATGTAATATGTGAACCAAGATGGCGGACACCGGAACGTAGTATGTGTACTAGGTTAAGGTTAGGCCATAATTTTATGTACAAATACTACTTGGCTAGTACGCAAACTCGTAATAGAAGTAAAATAAGGAAAATTGGAATAAAACTACCTAACCCTAACCTGGTACACATATTACGTTCCGGTGTCCGCCATCTTGGTTCACACACTTCGGGAGTACCGAATTTTCACATAGATCACTGACAATTTGTCACATAAATGACATTTGATAACGTGACCGAGTTTTATTAAAACACTTTCATATGTTTGAAGCACGCTGCCTCAGAGAGATCATAAAACTATCTCGATTCATGAATAATTTTGAGCGATATCGGGAGAAAATCATGCGGAATTGCTTCTTATCCATTATGATGTGACAAGCTAAAATTATAGCTTAATACGTCAAACGCCACGCTGCGGATAACCGGTTTATTTTACCCGAATCCGAAAATTTTAAAATGTAACTCCGAATACGAAAAATTTAAAAATAGGACTCAGACCCCGGATACTTTTGAAATAAGATTCCGAATCCGGAGAATTTTCGAGTAAGACTCCGACTTCGGTGAATTGAAATAAGATTTCGAATACGGAGAATTTTAAAATACGACCTCAACTCAGGACTAGGAGACTTTAAAAATTAGATCCCAAATCCGGGAAATTTTTAATTAAGACTCCGAATCTGGAGGATTCGGAAATAAGACTCCGAGTCCGAATAATTTTGAAATACGACTCCGACTCCGGAGATATTGAAAATTAGATTCCGAATCCGGAAAATATCAAAATACGACTCCGGATCCGGAGAATTTTCGAGTGAAACTCCGATTTCGGAGACTTAAAATAAAATTTGAATACGGACCCTTTCAAAAGGAGACTCCGTCTCGGGACAATTTTATAGATAATAAAACTCGGACTCCGGAGAATGTTAAAATAGGACTCGTACTCGAGAGAAATTTAAATTAAGACTCCAACTTCGGAGAATATGTACAACTATTTGCAATAATTACTCCGAGGCACTAAAAAAGACGCAAAAATAGGACTCTGGTTCCAATGAATATCTGATTGACGTGGATCTTTCGTACAACGCCCCGCCATTAATGCAAAAATGTGAGATTTGAGTAAAACACCCCCACGTTTAAAAATATCAAACTAGTAATTATCCAATTGAAATTGGAGTTGAGTTTAGGAATTATTTAAAATTTTGATTTCCAGCACAATCTGTATTTCTCATTCTAGCCCTGACCCTGAATGAATAATACTAAGTTGAAATATACTAAGTTTCATATTTTGAGGGTTGTCGGGGTTGTTTTACTGGCAGGAACTTTGTACAGAAGATCCTTAAACGAGATCGAGTCATATCAATTATCTAAATCATTAGGCAACATTATTAAAATGTCACCTGTTGTGGCGAATCCAACGCACATGAACAACAGCTGGAATGCTTCCATTTCAGACTGATTTTATTCCAAGCACAAATGAGAATTCTGCATGCGAATATTCTCTTCTCCTGGTTGCTTGTGATTCTTCTACCAACGCTTTTTCTACTCTAGCTTAAGTGTTATATTTGAAAAAACTCATAGGAAAAAATTATAATTTCAATCTAAATGAAAACCCGGGCGAAAATAAAAAACAGATTACTGTCGACTCTTTCCATCATGTTAGGAAGTCAAATCGTTTGTATAAATCCTGAACACTCTAGTTCAGTGGTGTGCAACAATTTTTGTCATTGGCCTATACAACCAATTTTAGACGGTACTCCCGTAGTATGTGTACAAAGTAGGGGGTTAGGCCCTAATTTTATTAGGATTTTTATTACGATATTTTAGTTCTATTACCAGTTCGCGACTGTCTGTATTAGTCAAGTGAATATACCCCCTGCCCATAGATTTTAGTCCCTTTACACAACTTAATGTATATTGCCAAACAAAATTAGTAACCTCCATATTGGTACACATACTTCTGGAGCGCCCTTCAGACATCTAGCTCACACAAACAGAAAAAAAAGAAAGCGACTATCTCTCGACCTTACAGTATTAAATGCACCGGGCAAATCTGCAAAAGATTTAACACAGCGACGAGAGCAAAAAACATATATTTATCATCCATGTGGGCACCTTTTAATTAATATCTGATTAGGATTTAATGCTTGATGAAAAAAAGTTCAATCGTTGACAAGGGCAACACGAAATTGCTTGGCAAAAGTTGTGGCCCACAAATCGCCTGTTGCACACCCATGTTCTAGTTACACCGAGCGAATCGCGATCCATCAAAAATGTTCAAAACCCTTAGCTAAGATATTCTAATCTTTTGAATCAATCTATCTTGCATCTGGGTACATGTACAATGATGATTGAATGATGAACAAATTACTGGAAACATAGAATACATCACTAAGTCAGATTACGGAGCGTTCACACACACATATGAATTTCAGTGTCGTTATAAATTGTGGAATCGACATCCTGGCTTCAACAATGCATTATAGCAAACAAAACCTTTTACTTGCGTATTTTTTGCTATTTTATAGCTTGGAATTTTTGGCAATATGGTGATGGCTCATTATGAGTAGCAAGAGAGAGTGCTAAAACGGGCTTTCCGCTGGTATGTTTGCTTGAATACCGGATGTTAATTGGTTGCATTGTCTTCTTCGCGTTGGAACCTTGAATAGCTAGAATGCTTCCATTACAGCTTGTTTTCTGATATTTTTCTACCAATACTAGCGCCCTATTTTAGCAAACATTTTTTTTTAAATATCCACAACCAATAAACTTTATAAAATTGCGGCCTAAATGAAACCTTGAGCAAAAATATCAAACTAAGTCCTGGTGACGCTTTTTATTTCACACTGTCAAAAAGTTTGCAGTTTTTAATGCCATTTCGCTGTAAATCTCTGACGTAGATAGTCGCCATGAAATCATTTATTAGTGAATCATACATGAACAAGCATAATTGTATCTTAGATCCATTTGTGAAACACCCAATGCGATATTATACTGAAATCGACCCAAGATAAAGCCAATTTATCTGAGGCAACCTAGTAAACGATAACTGATTGCTGCAGTCATCTAGATCAGGCATGGCTAAATCCGGCCCTTTGGGTAATTCAATCTGGCCCGCCTGATGCTGTCACAACCAAATTTTTATGTTTTAGCTAAAAATAGCTCAAGGAATTTATTGATATTGCGGTAAGTTTAGTTTTGGCACGAGTCCTATTGTTTTCCACATTTGCTTCTGAAACACTGTGAATTTTGTTCGTGAAATGTTACTTTTTACGTCACACATACATGGCCCGCCAGACTAGGATGACATGACAGTATTTACATAAATCCAATATATAATTTTAAGACGTGTATCATGAATATTTGACTTCTTTAAATTACGCAAAATACTTATTTGCAAAAGCCTCCCTGGTATGAAGTGTAGTGAACAAATCTCCCATATTACAACATTCTAAATTTTCGAGTACAAAATTTCTTTATACACACTATACATTTTTATCTTAATCAAGTTCCTGAAATGTCGAAGAAAGACATTCAACACAATTCGGTACTCCCGAAGTATACGAATCAAGATGGCGGAAACCGGAACTGTGATGCACTTCCTATCAGCACATCCGCCTAAATGTGAGATGGTATTATTAGAAGATTAATGGAAGATTTCACGTCATCACCTCTGGGCCTTAAATACGAGGAATTTAAGGCCGAATTGTGGGTACTCCCGAAGAATGTGAAACCAAGATGGGCGGACCACCAGGTTATTGATAATTTCTATTTTAAATTTCGTTATTTTAGTTCTATTGTGAGTTCGGGGATTAAGCCAAGTGATTTCCCGTAGGTGATTTTGTAGCCTGAAATTATGGTCTATTTCCAAACTGCGTACACGATAGCTACGATTTCAGGTGTCCGCCAATCCTGGTTTACAATACTTCGGGGAGTACCCAACAATTCAGCCTCTAATTCCTCGTATCTAGGGCCCAGATGATGGCGTGAAATTTTACCAAACATCGATAATACCATCTCACATGTAGCGGATGTGATAAAAGGAAGTGTACGACAGTTAGTGGTATAAGCGATGGTGATCTATTTTGAAGAGTAAAATGATCTCTAAAACTTCTGTTGAAATAGTCAGGGCATGAAGGCATTGTGCTGGATTCCAGGTATGTCTTGATTCGTGACCAAAAAAAAAAAAGGATATTTAAAATACGATGTTTGGTCGTCATTGCGTTGATTTGGTTAAGTAAAGTTAACCTTACCCAGTGATCCGGAAGAATTCGTGCCAAGATGACGCACAACCTGAACAACCCTAACCTGGTACACATACTAAGTTCAAGTTTGCGCCATCTTTGGTGCGAATACTCCGGGAGCACCCCCAACTTATAATATATCAGTAATGTTATATCAAGATATATTTATATTGAAATGCGAGTACTATATTTAAATACACGAAAATATAAACGTAGCATTTTCCTTTCGTCTTCCACACATTCGGTAGTTTATTTTTTCACTTACCGGAAATTACACTTGCTACCGTGTTTCCCCGAAGATAACACCTTGCCTAAATTTCAAAAATGATTCCAATATAAATCCTCTCCTTAATATAAGACATAATGGTTTTACGTTTTAAATGATTAATATTCTATGTTTAACAGTTTTTTTTACTAAAAACGTGTTATTTATAAGTAATTGGATATCGGTTTTCATATTTTGTATATTTGAAAATCTCGCAATTCTCAACTTTGTAATTTTGTTTTTAATAAATGAAAATAAAAGGCATCCCTCCAAAATAAACCCTAGTGTTATTTTTCGAAAGAAAATAAGACCCGGTTTTATTTTTGGGGAAACACGGTACGAACATTAAACACACACACACACACTTCCAACGTGAATAGCGCTTCGACTTATAAAGCGCTCGATCGATTTTTTGAGATAAAAAGGATTCAAAGTTCACCTTATGGTCCGTAGAATACAATATTCCAGTTTTTTATTTTTTTTAATTTCTTCTAGATTCTTAATTGACATTTAAACTTTTTAGTTGTGAAATTGGTGTCACAACTTTAACATGCTTTCTAGTTAATTTCGATTTTCGCCCAACCATTTCTTGGTACATAATACTTGGAGTTTTGACGTCACAATAATTACGTCGCTGATTTTGTTACGTCACTTTTAGATTTTGTTTCAGTATGGTCTTTCTTGTTTTCGTTCGAAGATTTTTTGTGCCGGTGATGACTCGAGTGAGGCTTTTTCGAATTGTCTGTTGTTTTCTTTCCGTTAGATGTCGTAGCTTTTTTGTGAGCACTGCTCACTGGCTTTCGCTTCTTTGACTTATCCTCACTTTTTTGCTGTCCACCTTCACTTTTATGTGCGTGTTCTTTACTACGATGTTCAGTTTTTTGCACCGTGTGGATTACTTTTGTGGTGTTTCGGTTTATCAGAGGTTGGTTTTGTGTGCGCAGTTTCGCTGCTCGTGTTTTAGAATGGCTGTGTTTGAAGAGACTTGTCAGGCCTAGATGCCGGCGTGTCGTCTTTTTTCGTCAGATTATTGGCCGTCATTTGACGCGACTTTTTCGTCTGTTCGTGAGGCTTCTGATGTTTTATGTCTTCCGTTTCCGTGATTTGTCGCCGTGTTTGTGTGTCGCTGATGATTTGTCTTTTGTCTGGCTTCGATGTTTCAAGTTGTTTTTGTTCTCGTCTGTCTTCGGCTGTGTCTGTTTGTTCCGCCGCTAGTAGGATGGGGCCTTATTCGAGACTTTGTCATGGGATTTGATTGCTGTTTTACCGGATGTTCATTCGATGGCGTATCACTTAGTGACAACTGCATTACTTTCCAGTTTTTAGTGGACTCATTCGTTGGCTTGGTGACCTTTGACCCTTCATGGTGGCCATTTTGTTTTTTGTCTCTCTGTCGTCTTTGCCCGATGCTTCGCGGTTTTTGTCTTCGTTGTAGCGTCTCCGTGAGAGTTATGCCGTTTTACTTTCTGTGGTGGTTTTTTGACAGTCCCCTCTGGCTTAGATGTTGATCTTTGCAAGTTCTCATATGCTAAATATAAAAAAAATAAATAAATAAAGTGTTTTAGAAACTTAAATTAAGTTTAAGGAGACTTGAGGGAGTTGTCTCTGATGATCGTATCGCTCACTCCGTGTAATGGAAGCAGGTCTCAATTTTGTATTTTGTGCTTTTTTCTATTTATCGCTTTTTGAGAGAGTGAGAATTTGTGATTTCGCAATATGTTTATAATGCACGCTATTGGTGGCGGCATTCGACCGACGACGAGATTTGCTCTTTGTTAGTTTCTTCTGTTGCTCTCGTTATGCGTGGTCGGAGCGAGCTAGTATGGCGCAATCTGCTGTTACCTGATTTGCCGGTCTTTTTAGGATTCAGAGGAGTATATGTTTGATGAGTATTTAGACTTCTGCTATGTTTTATTATTTAGTCAGGGAATCGATATAGGTTGGTATATTATATTAGGATATGCTGTGATTTCCTTGTGCGTTGTTATTTCTAACTGTTCTGTATTTACTTATCGATATTGATCGGTAAGTATTTTGATAGGTATTTGTCTGTTTGTCTGTCTGTCTGTTAGACACTTTCTTATGTTACGCGATATCTCACGAAAGCGCTTTGAAGCGAATATTCGAATCGATTCGAATAGTAAGTTATTCGAATCGGTTCAGAGCAGAATTTCGAATCGCCGCCATCTTGTTTTTCCTCTCTCCGCCAATGGTCGAGGTGAATTACCCAATTTTTCTTGTTGCAGCCATATTTTTTGCAGTCAGTTATTGATAAATAAGTGTTTTTCATTGTGTGTGAACGTTCCGTAATCTGTCTTAGTGATGTATTCTATGTTTCCAGTAATTTGTTCATCATTCAATCATCATTTGTTCAAAATCATTTGTTGACAGGACTAATTATAATAGTAAGTGCATAAAATTACATATCTCCCATTGGCTTCCAAGTATTCGAGATTCGATTCGGAAAAAATATCCGATTCGATTCTGTAATCATCAAGTATTCGAAATTGCCCAGCCCTAGTCACGAGTTTGCATAGCAAATTGTAGGAAAACCGGGAAGTGGTACTTGACATTGGTTGGGTATAAACGTAGCACAGTTTCGGGACTCCGATACGTGCGTTACACTCCGGTCAAAAAGAGAAACATTGTGTTTATTTTATTATCATATTTTTGCTTTATTTTTGACGTCTTTTGTTGTTGACAAATTATTTAATCACTCTCTTTTTTCTCTGAGAAGTGGTACGGTTATTCATTTTAACAGTGGGTCGTCCCAATAAACTTTGGTTCACGACCGTAGGCGTATCCAGGGGGGATGAGGGGCCAAAAAAAAATCCGCCGCTCACCAATTTTGGACAGGCTACGCTTTTGGCCACGACCCCGCTTTGAACAATATTCGGTTTGTGTCGCAGTCACTCTTATCAGTGTGCCCCATTACTACCGAACATGCTAGTCCACATTGGGTTTCAGCCGCTGCGTGAAAGGGCGAAGCGGAATACTAATTTAATAATTGTAGCTTCTTATGTATCTGTAGCTTAGTCCGGAGTGAAGGCGTAAACTCCGTGTGAAAAAAAAGACACAAAACCCTAAATTCTACCGTGCCAAACTTGATAGATTGGTACGGCTTGTTATCAAATGAAATGACCGTGTGCATCACCTGGAGTTTCTGGGGTCTTCTTAATTTTCTTTGGCTTGTGCTCACTTTTTGGAGGTTTCTTTTCAGAATCCATTGAAATCTTCGACGCTAACCCGGGTAAAATCTGAATAAACAAAGAATGATCAAATGTATGGTAAACAAAGTCAAATATATGATTTTTCACCCTGAGAAAACAGCAGCAAGAAAAGAGCGATACTCAAATATATGAACACGAAGTAGTACAGGTATGCAATCTGTCACGGTAGCAGCAGGTTTGAGCCGCAACAATGAGTTCAATTTTGATGACGCATATTTTTTCGTATAATGACGTAATACAACGCTTACTCATATATTTTGCTCCAAAAATAGCTAGATGAAAGCAGCCACGAATATCTAACAATATCTTAAAAAATCTTATTATGAACTTAATTCGTCATGGTCCCCAGCCCCTTTCTCTCTTTCCTATTATGGAACTGTGACAGAATGTAAAATATTAGGTTACCATTGCATCTGCTTTTTTGTTGGATTCCGAGATCTTGCTTGCTTCAAGATTTAGATATTCCTCTTTTTTCTTCTTGTCAAAAATCATTCTAAAAGTTTAAGAAATTTATAGTTTCATCGTACTGTATGTATAGCTTAGAGATCATCGCTTTCAACAAAGCTCTTGAGTATGGTTTACATATTTATTCCGAGAGAGGAAAGCCGATAAGACGACTCAATCATATGACGAACCACGGCCTCTTGTCGGGTTGTCATTCCATTTAGAGTATTATCATGTGCATGGACTTGATAGTGGAGGAAGCCGTAACAAACCAGTGTATACGTGAACCACCTTACGACAGCTAGAAGTCCACTAAGCACCATCACGAACCTGCGAACTCACGCAGGTTAATCAGGGGGTTGCGGGGAGTGGTATTTATACGGCATAGCACGATGGGCCACACCGCCGAGACATTGACATGTGAATAGCTTCTATTTTTAGCAGCACTGGGGAATACGCTCTAACAATCTCTTTCGACGTGAGGTTGAGATTTTAAACCTATTTTGATTAATTGCTGTAAACAAGTAATCAAAGATCATGATAATGGATACTTATTAAATTGAAACATAGAACGTTTCATTTTAGATTCAAACGTTGAAGAAAAATTTTCACGTGCAGGTGCTAGTAAGTGTTCCCTTTTCAAAAATATGCGGGTTGGACCCCATCCCCTTCTAAATGTTAAAAAGGGCATTTTTCTTCATCTTACATAGCAATTTGTCGTAGCTCAAAACGATTTCAGACCCTCACGACCCCTGAAAACTCATGTTTTCTGCATCGCTTGTTGTTACGTCATTCCTTGACAAATATCATAACCCCCCTTTTAAATATTCTTTAAATTGGAACCGACCTTACCTTTTAATAACGACTCCGATTATGCAAGATATGATGGCGAACGCCACGACAATGATAATAACCACTTGCCAGATTGTTAAAGAGGTTCGACTTTCATTCGGGTCGTCTGGAGTGAGATCTGGAACAAAATAATGTCAAGTCGAGTTTAATTTTTCGAGCCACTAAAAATGAATTTTACACTATATACGAAGAAAAATATGATCCCAATTTTGTCGTGGAAGGAAAGCTAAGAGGAAATAAAAATTGGTATCGAAAAGTGACACCGAAAGTAATGTAATGAGTATTTTGTGGCTTTCGGGCAGTGGCGGGCTCGTGCAATCGGCGTTTTTTTGATTGGGACGCAGAAGGAACAAAAAGATTTCACAGTAAAATTTTCGAAAAAATAATTTCACATTGGGAATAATTGAAACTCGTATTTTTATCTATATAATAACGTACAAGTATCTCAATTTTCCAACCGTCGGCAAAAATTGTTGGTCGACAATCAAGAAACGCATTTTGAACCTCTGCCATGGGCGTCATTTTATGTAGATGCGCCATTGCCCGCGGTTCTATTTCATGTCCCTGAGCGCGATTTTACACAACCAGCCACTGATACAAAAGGAGCAAGTATTTTTCGGCTCTGGATATGGAAGAAGATTTGCAACAAAATTAGCCGAGTTGAAAAGTTCCGCCATTACATAGGTATAGTCGGGACAATTTTTATGAAAGTTGGGAGACCGATTTAAAATATTGACAAACGTACATGTTAAAATTTAAATGGTTAGTTCATGACTTGTGTTGTGTAAGTAGTGCATGCAAATTTTCGATGATTTATTGCAATCCGTAACTTGGAGAGTATAGAATTATTTACACGGGCCGTTTTTGCATTGTTGGGGCCGTTGGAGGTTGAATTTTTGGCGCTCCCGAAGTATATGCGCCATCTTGGTGCACATACTCTTAGAGGTCCGATTTTTTTTTTTTGCCCAAGAGGAGAATAATGCTGGTGAAGCCACTCAGTGATGCGTCATACGTCATGGCATCTTCCTCGATTGAGAATCCACATTGGGTACAACAATAGTTAACCAGTTAATTTCTTTAGTATTTTAGTATGAACTAAACTGTGTAAATAATCTGCGGTTATGTGAGCCAACGTGCGACGGCAAAAAATCTCCCAATTTGCTATTGCTAATTATTTCAACAAAAAAGCATACCCCTGTCGAAAAACCGATCTAAACTCTATTATGCAACACTGTCACAGTTAATGCCTTTTCGGGGGAGGGGGGGGGGGGTTAGAAATGAGTTAGTATGAATTCTACTTGTTAAATCCTTGCCAGGCTGGTTCTTTGTTCCATATATCGTGAATCGTGTATTGGTTTTATCAACGGCAACTCCAACTGTTTTCTTCACTGTGCTCCTGTAAAGGAATGTATTTGTAATGGTGATGTGAATGTCAAAACACAGGATGGACAAAAGCAAAAAGTATGATAATACGGTTACAAGAAAAGCGTCTTTAAATCTGACTTTCTGTAAATGAATCGATGTACCGATTTCAAAAATGCTGTGGATTCAATGTACTATTTGCGTTAATGTTATGAAATATAATCAAAGTTGCAATATAATAAGAATGATCGAATTAGCGTGTACCGTATTATTAATAGTGTCACAATAATCAACAATCAGGACAGAATGAGGAGGAATTGCCTAATGCAAGGAATGGGATAATATGGGCATTGAAATCAATCAATTGTTTATTTGTCATCACGAAAACAAGAAAAAACTGATACAACAAATAAATATACTAATTGCGTTATTTGTGTGACCAGAGTCGAGAGGAACCTATGAAGGGATTCAAGCAGCGACATCCACAAGGCTGATACAGGTTAGTATAAAAAGTAACCGAATGAGGCACAACTATTGAATACCAGTTTTTGCCACAGTAAAAAATATCCCAGACTTTTACGCAGATTGACTTAAAATATGCAATCAATGGCAGTGGCAACGATTCGTGATAAATGCCACGGTTGGTCAGTGTTGACCATTCCGTCAAAAAAAGAAATACTGATTCGGAAACACACCTCTTCACTTAAAAAACAAAGCTCAATACTATTAGCTACAAGTGTAGCTGCTCGTTTTGAAATGTCTTGAATTTCCCCGCTTCGACATTTCTTACCCTATTTATTATTACAGTCTGGAGGCGGTGATAGGCATGGACTATGAATCGGATATTTGTCGCCTCCTATGCAAACATTATTGAGGGTGACACTTTTACAAAGAGCCAACGTGACCACCGGTCGAATTGGTTATGTTGGTTTTTTTGTTATTTAGAAATTTCTATTAGATCCAATGAATCCAAATAATAAATTTTTTTATAAACTCACGTTAAGTCCTTGTTCTTGCTCGGGCTCCCACCAACTCTGAAACATAAAAAAAAAACATTAAATATTAAAACGAAATTATTTTGAAGTAAAATGTCTGCATTTTCAATATTACTATTAAAAATTTGAGATTCGTTGAATTTTCAATATTACCATAATCGATTAAATCGGCTCGTCGCTAGATTGCAACCCGAGGTCAGAGTCAAAAGACAACAATTTTTGTCAAGTTTTTTTCTGAGTTTGTTCTGTTTCTCGGACATGCACAAATAGACATTTTACAAAACTTGCAAATTCTGTTAATCAAGTGTATCAGTGACTAACAATTGTGGTAAATGGCTCCATTCAAGATTCGTTGAATTTTCAATATTACCACAATTTATGCAACATTGTTGGGGTATGGTTTACGATTGCGATGTTGAAAACCACAGTTTGTTAACTGGGGTTCGGGTTTTCACTGGTCGGGGTAGGATAAAAAAAAATCACATTTTATTTTGTTACGTTTGGTACTCGGAAAATGACGCGACTAGATCGGCTCGCGCTAGATCGCAACCCAAGGTCACACTCAAGAGACAACAATTTTTGTCAAGTTTTATACTGAGTTTGTTCTGTTTTCGGACATGCACAAATAGATATTTTACCAAAACTTACAAATTCTGTTATTCAAGTTTATCAGTGACTAACAATTGTGGTAAATGACTCCATTCAAGATTCGTTGAATTTTCAATATCATCATAATTTACATAACATTGTTCGGGAATGGTTTACGATTGCGATGTTGAAAACCGCAATTTTGTTAACTGAAGTTATGTTTTCCACTGGTCGTAGTAGGATGAAAAATCACATTCTTTTCTGTTACGTGCATTAATCACTAATAATATTGGAATACGGATGCATCAGAGAAATGACTTGACGTCACTAGATCGCAACCGGACGTCGAAGTCGTTTTTCGAACATGTCCAAATAGACATTTTACAAAACTTACAAATTCTGTTATTCAAGTTTATCAGTGACTAATAATTGTGGTAAATGACTACATAAGTGGATTGTTAAGTATCAGGAGTTAGAATCCAACACATGTGTCATTCTGAAGTCAAATCTACATTTTTGATTTTATTTTAACAGTTTTTAACGAACTTTATTTCAGTTTTGAGAAATGAAGTCAGGGTAAACCGGAACCCTATTCTGGTTTGCGAATAGTAGCAAGAGTTTAATGTAAAATCACGCCCTGATTGTCATGCGTGATTATAACTGGTATTCGTTGGAAATGAATGCATATTTCTCTTATATTGGCCAACCTCCGTCATGAATCTATGTTGTATCCGGTTGCGGTCTAATAGTTTGACAGTAGGAATTGGATTAGTATTTGTTCTGTTTGACAAGTTTTATAATTATAAACTGCAAATTTAATATTTGTGGAATATGACTACATATCAGATTCGTTTGGAGTCTAAAATGTTTCCACACATGGTGTCGGATCTGGTTTCCGAATATGATTTGGATGAAACTTGGTTGGTCTTTTAACGAGTTTATCAGTGATTACTAATTGCGGGAGATGACTCTATAAAAGACTCATTTCGACCCGCTATTACTCAACTTCATAAGTCCTGGTTATTGAACGATGTTTCACAGAAACAAACCTTTATTCAAGTTATCGAAAGTAAGGAAAAATATTCAAACGAGCTGAACTTTGCCGAACAAGATGCAATCTGATAAAACTACAAAAGTTGCCAATTTATGCGATTGGCACACACGCTCTCTACAGATGGTAATGCTAGATAACGTTTGTCACTTTTATTTTTGTCATGGGATTGATTTTTGATGACTAATGTGTATTGTAGATCAGTGAGTGATGAGGCGTTATTGAAATCACGACTATAACCATTTTTTTCAACAAAAGACAGGTTTGTTGCTGTGAGTAAATAATTCGTGAGATTTAAGACTTCGAATTGGTTGTTTGTTGCACAGCAACTCTACACTTAAACATTTATAACAGCAATAATGGTGGTAAACACATCTCAAAATCAGCTGACGTCCAGTCTTCCCCGACTAGAAGAGAGCGGAAAGGGTCTAACCCGGCCTAAATCAAGGGTCTGGAAAACAGCATACAGAGAAAGATAAAAAGACACAGCACAAACACGGACATTAAAAACTGTGACAAAGGCGAAAGTAACAATGATGAATTACCCTAGGATGTTCAAATTTACAAAAAATTTGCGGTAACAACTAACAATACTTTCGGGCAAAAACGTAATGGATAAACTTCTCATTTGTGCTTGTTGGTTGGTTGGGAACCAGTCAACTTATTAATTGACTCGGCTTTAGACTTGTAATCAAGGCGAGACTCGTGTTCGTGACTCGAATTGATTCGTTAGTCGGGGTTGGGAACTTCCAACCAAAACTTCAGAAAACATTTTTTTAACCTCTTATCGCATATTCATTTTTTACTTAGATTTTAATATCAAGTAAATGTCATATAACTTGTTAATTTTGGTATTTGGTAATCAAGAACTTCAGAAAAACACGTTTTGCTTCTTCTGTCGAGAATATTTATTCTTTACTTGGATTTAAATATCAAGTAAATGTCATAAAACTCGTTAATTTTGGTATTTGGATATTCAAACGCTATGTTTTCTTGCCTCCGGCTGTTGACGGGCGTTGAAAGTAAATGGCGAATGACAACATTAATTTCAATATGGTCAATTAGAATACATGTTTCACTGGTTGATTTCTTCAAATGGGAATGGAATAAAACCACTTGGTTAAAACTGTGTTAAATGAAATAGTTATTTACCACTAACTGTGTCTAAATTTGTGCTGGAATGTCTACACGAAATTTTATACGATAGTCTACACATTCGTTTGCCGTCCAATGACTAGGGTCGTTTTTGACACTTTAAGGCAGTGGTTCTCGAACTTTTTTAGTCCCAGAGCCGCATTTCAAACCTCTAAGTTATGAAGAGCCGCACACAAACAACGCATGGTAAAATAACAACAAACCTGAAGCGCGTATTCAAAATACCAAGTCCTCGTAACAACAACACACCTAACAACTATATAGCTGGGCCAAATATTCGAATAATAAAATATTCGAATGCCATTTTACTATTCGAATATCCGGTACCACGCGACCTGCGTCGCTTTGCTTGGACACCGAACTCGCGCGTCTCCAACTCAATCGTGAATTGTGCGAGATTTCCCTACGGCGCTCGCTATCAGAAAAAAAAGACAAATTTGAAAAGTCGTTGTTTTAGCGTTATGGTGTTATATGCTTATCTTTGCACTTAACGTATTGTTTCAATACATTATTTTGCAAAAAAACGTATCGACCGTTCCGTAAATTTAGAAACGTCAAACCAGATTAGGTATTTAAAATAAATTTCTCAGATTTTAAACTCCGCATGCTTGGTGACACATCATTAGTCATTTCTTGCATTACCGAACATAAAGTTGATTGAAATTAAATGTTAAAATGACTTTTCGGTGTTTCATTGTGAAAAAGGCGATTTTAGATAGATTTTAGAAAACTCTAGTTATGTAAATAGCATGGATTTAAAAATGACCAGAGGTTTTTCTAATAGCTGGTATAAGTTACTTGTATGAAAACCACTCATTAAATTGTAACCAGATAAGGAATGTCTTGTCCTACTCTCTTTAAAGCACTTTGTATTAGCTCTTTAGTGATCCCTTCCATCCTTGGCCAAGTGATGTTTCGAATATGTAACATTGTACTCGACCATACATGGCCGCTGAGCCAAGAAACGTAAAATTAATCGTGAATTTCGTTGTGACAATGCACACTGACTCGTTCACGAATTGTTGCGTCTGTTATCATCGAAAATGATTACAACTGGTAAATTTTGAAGCAATTGGGCAGTACTAATTAGGTCTTATAGCAAGACATAATCAAAATCATCAAGTGAAGTGCTGAATTTGCAAATTCCGTAAAGAAAATTGAGCATTACTCAGTAAGTATTTTAGCCATAATAACCATCGGGGTGTTGTTGTGTTAAAAAAAAAAGAACCTTAAAACTTGAGAGAATCAGGTATAATTAGCGTCTGACCCTCGCACAAAGGCCTAGAAATGCCTTTATTGCCAATTTATTTAATCGCTTTTTTAAATCAACATTCAGGATTCACGCAATCGTAAATTTGCTAGGTTTATCTATCTAATACTAAAATAACACGAACACCATAGGAAAGCACGAGAAACTCAAGTATCGTTTTAATAAATATCTGCATCTCGGTTACCGTTCACTTTAAACAGGCACGGTTAATTTACAAGCGTTGATAAGGAAGATCAAATCCAAAACAGGGAATAAAACTCAGAATAAAATTAATTTGGTTTAGAAAATCAGCCCTTAATGTATTCAACAGCTGTCGCTGATGTGAACGCAAGGGTATACTAGGAATGTGAAACTTCGATATACGGCGACCCCTTATTCTTGCAAAAAACGAGAAAGGGCGGGAATATAGAATTGAGTTATTTGATTTATAAATAATATCCGGGAATGCGACAAACAGTGAAAATCCACGGAAGCAAGCCAATGATTACAGCCATGTCTAAAATCTTGCCAAGTGAAAAGTGTACGAGTGTCCGAGTAACGATTACTGTTGCGTCGCTATTGCATCTTGTAGGTTAGTCAACGCTACGCAAATAAACAAGGGGAAATTCATTCGACTAACTAATAGACTTCAGCATTTTAATTTCGAGTCAATGATTCGTTTTTTATGAAAATTTTTTTCTGAAAATAATTAATTTTTAAAGCATTAACGAGAGCCGCAGGAAAGGTTGTTAAGAGCCTCATGCGGCTCTGAAACCCTAGTTTGAGGATCACTGCTTTAAGGCCTTATTAATTGTTCAAGAACCGTCTGCCTATATTGTTAACTACTGGAACACATAAATGAAATACACGAAACTGAAAACCCATTTAAAACGTGAGGATTTTTTTTTGTATAGTACATAGCCAATTTTCGTAGATTAGAAAGATTTATAGCGCTCGCTTTTCAACTCTCCGGACTCTTTTAAACTCAAGTTTCACGGCCTCCAACTGGATCCGCTATAGCTGTTGACAGTTAGAAATTTCGGAAATCCCCCTCCCCCTTGAAAGTATCTAGAACACCCCTGGCTGATTGAAGAGAAAGGCTGATTGAATTGTTTTAAATCACAGGTCAAGTGCGATCTATTGGCTTTCCGTCGAATAGAATATTTATATCTCCTACAGTGTAAGCAGCCGCTTCTAACACTCGAAATAATATTTCCGCTTTTTGTTTACATATTAGCACATTGCTTTGAGCAATCATGCCCAAAGTAAGTAAGTGACATTCACAACGAGGATAAACCTATAAATTGTTATTCGCGCGTTTGCTACTTTTCGGTAATATTTTCGCTTTGAAGATGCTAACTTTTTCTATTAGAAAATTCAGGTAAAATATTTAATTTTTTACCTGAATCCAGGAGGTTCTCTAACAAGTTTATAGCTTATAATGAAAGGTTCTTTCTTTCCTCTTATTTTTTCAACCAGACCCTCTTCGCCTTGGATATCGATCCGAACTCTTTGTCCTGTAAATTAACATATTTAGTTATTGTACAAGAGAACGATGCTCAAATATATATGAACACGAAATACAAAACTAAGTAGTATGATATGCCAAATGTCACAGTAGACTACTGCAGTCCGCGGATCGCCACAAGCCCACTTTTAGTCATCGCACACAAAAAACTATCCCGTGGAGTTTACAAAAATTTTCGGAATGGGGGTCCAGTGCTCGAAGCGAAAAGTGATTTTTTTCACAAGATAAAAAGAGATATCCACAACAACAACAACAAAATGTCAAAACTATCCATATATACATTTGCGTTCAACGAGGAGAAAAGACTTGTAATTTAATGCATAATATCGTATACACAACTTATGGTATGCTCTCTATTTCATACACTCTGGGTGGACATGGAGTACAAATATGCAATTTATCACAGTATACTACAGGTACGGCTGTCTTCACGAATTCGCCTGGCCACTAGATGTCAATATAAGCAAAAGAGGAACCGCCACAAGGAGCGCAATTTTTAATTTTGACAAGAACAATACCATAATACGAAAACGATCCATAGAGTCCATTTTGTGTCCAATAAATATTAGAAGATGGAGAGCAAAAGCTCCCGTTCAAACATCCTTGTAGCAACTGACACTTACAGATGCGTTGAAAGTAAACAAAAGAGAGATGCTTGAATATATGGACACGGAGGCTAAAACGAAGTAGTATGGGTATGCAATCTGTTACTGTAGACTGGCAAAAATGCGATGTTTAACCAATGAAAATTTGAAAGCAGTTGGTCTGGTACAATTTTATTCACAAGATTAAAAGAAATACTAACAACAACAACAACAACAACAACACAACAACAAAGCGATCCATGTGTAAACTTTGAGCCGAACACGAAGAAAAGACTTGCGGTTCCTGCATAATACCCTGGTACCCTTGTATTTTATGCACTCTGGGTACGTATGGAGATTGAACTACGTATATTAAACCCAACTTACCGACTGATACGTAATCACCAATCCTTTTATGTTTATCCCCACATATTCTTCCCTGGGACTTGCCAAGCTTGATGTCAATTATCTGGAAAGAAGAGATCATTTGTAAGTTTTCTTCCACGACCGTTTAGCAAATAAAAAAAATTGTTGTGCAAGTCATTCATTTGCAATCATTGAACTTTCAAAACGTATACTATTTGCGTTTGTCGTCGTTGTGAACAGCGCGAATTGGGCATAGATCTTCAGCTAGATACTTTTATCAGGATTCTCAATTGAAATCTATTTCAGTGTGAAGGGAGACACAATAAACCAGTAATAGTCTAACCTTATACTGAGGAAAAAAGTCGAACATGAAATACTAACAAAAGTGGACTTAGACGGATTGTTCTATTAGGCGCGGAGGTGAGTGATTGATTTTTCGCAAGAATAAAACAACAAATTCTATAAATCGATCCATGGGCCCACTTTTTCACCAAGTGGGAACAGAAAAAGTAGTTCGTACTCGTCCTTCATCCTATTTATCCCAATGTAGAATACATTAAAAAGGATCGAAACCTATTAACTTATTTCCAAAAAGAAAAAAAAATTTAATTTTAATAAAGGGCAATTATTGTTAATTTGTGTATATTCATTTTCCATTTATGCGCCTGATAGCTCGCACTATATTAGCCCATCTTTGGCCATATGAGTATATAATTAGGTTTTATAAGTCGACGTTATGAATGAATAAAAGTCAATTATTGTTAATTTGCCACACATGGTCCAAAGGTGATCTGGCCTTAATAGCTCGCGGTATTATTATCCCATCATTGGCCATATATGTATATGATTAGGTGTTATTAATCCGGTTTTATGAATGGTAGACCACATTCAAGAAAAAATTCAATGATTTGCGTTATCACCGCGTTTATCGTTCATTAAGTAAAATTAAACAATAATTGACCAAGCCACATGAGTCGCTACTCGTTTCCAGTGGTTTTTGATTCATCTATTTTTATTCGACACTGATTCGCAGAATTCATTAAGAACAAGATATTTAAGAGGCAGCAACTGATATGCAAGGTCGGGGACGATTAGTTATTGACTACACATTATCGAAAAAGTGGTTGGCATGGGTGTTGATTTCTATATTTTTAACTTGCGGTAACTTTGTTGCATACAACACTCTAACTATCAAACCATCGGCCCGTCTTGGCTCAGGTTCATATCACTTTCTCTAAAAGAGGCTAGATGTCGGCGTTTATAGGACACAAAACACGCGTGCGTACAATGTACATACTCGTACACATACGCGGTGTACACCCAGACATACGTTCACAAAATTATACGGTACTCCGAAGTATGTAAACCAAGATGGCGGGCACCGAAACGTAGTATGTGTACCAGGTTAGGGTGAGGCCATAGTTCAATTTCAATTTTCCTTATTTTAGTTCTATTACAAGTTCGGGGAATAGCAAAGTGACTGTCGTAGTATTTGTACCTGGAATTATGCACTAACTCTAACCCGGAACACATACTACCCTCTTGGTTCACATACTTGAAGAGTACCCACAAAATTATACTTATACACGATCGCGAACAACCATGCACGCACATTCACAACGGTACACAATACACCAAATACTGCAGTAGTCACCTCTAGAAACTGCTGTGTACAAGTGGAACTCTTGTCGGCCCCGAAATCAAGTTTCTCAAAGGAAATACGAATCTGCGTCCCTGGGACTTCCGTCGTTATGCTAAAAAAATGACAAAATTCCGGTAAAATCATTTGGAATTGCTTATTAACACGAGCCTACAACAAAAGAGGAAATATGATAGATGAAGTCGTTGATTGCTATCTTGGGCGCTTGGACCAGTAGATTTAAATCCTTTTGTGTGAGCGTAACGCCAATGATCTTTACACGAGCTCGAGAAGCCCCTGTGCAATGCGAATAAGAAAAAGGAAGAATAAGAAATGTATAAACTATGAACATATATTATATATGTATTGAAGCTAAGCTAATACTGGCAAACCTAATAGACATTTAATTAAATATATTTTAGCAATATGGATTCATTTATATAGACTCTTGAAATTCAATGTAAATTTTCTTGACTGTAGTGGCGGAATCCCGGTTGTAAACCACCGATTGGAATGTAAAAAAGCATTTTTCTGTTTTAGTCAGTTTTTCGTTCCAGGTACATCAACTTGGACGGCGGATGAAACGGTAGAAAAACTGTGAGCAGTACCAATACTTAGCAATGTGAGCCAACCAATAGACCCGAATACTTACAACCAGGAGCATTGAAATTGCGTGGCTTGTAACTTCTTCGTGTTCATTCCTCGGATGCTTCTCCATCTTACGTCAGCATTTAGGTACTTTATACAGTGCGTCCCTGCAAGAACGAAGTAACGTTGAAAGCGTTAAAAAAGTTGGTTTCAGATGATTCAGATGATTATTTTCAGAGCTCGTCACTCACGATGGTCGTGAAGACCTAGTGAATTATTGAGTCAGCGACACCTGTCACGGACATTAAATTGAAGCAGAAAATAAAGCGATAAAGCAACACCTCCCCCCCCCCCCAATAATTAGTAATTTCCTAGTTTTGGTTAGGGTTAGGAATGCAGATTGCGCTGGAAACTCCATTTTTAAATCATTCCCAATGCTAACCCTAACCCCAACTAGATAATTACTGATTTTTTATTTAAAATCATGGCGGGCCTTTTATATTTTAAAATGGGATTTCCGACACTCTATAGAAAGTTTTGCAAAATGTATTGTTATTATTCTGGATGTTTTGCGAATAATCGCTAATCAAATTTTCAAAGCGGAAGCAATAACTCTACAAAGTGTTTTTTGACAGTTTTTAATTGTTCAGTAAAATCAAACCATAATTCTAAGAAGGTGGCATCTCCTGGTACACACAAAACTGTTTACCAAACAGGCTTAGGACCACGAAAATCTTGATTTACCAGTATTTAAATGTTTATTATCCGTTAGTGATTTATTGCCTGAAGCTTCATTTTGCGGTGGGATTTATTTTTAAAGTACTATATATTAGAATTCAATGCTTGATGGAATACGAGTGTTGAGGACTTGGCGAGATGGATTGTGGCACGCGGGCCACCTATTGCACACTACTGATTTGAAACCGGTTAGTGATTTATTGCTTCAAGCTTCATGTTGCGGTGACTTTTATCTTAATGAGCTAGATATTTTTTATCCAATCATTTGATCGTTTTGTTATTACGTTGTTCCACGCATTTTTTCTCTTATCGTTTTGGAAAATATTTTTTTGCATCATATTTTTCGAAATTAGTTTCTTTAAAACACGCGTGTGCAACATTTTTTATTGACGGGTCATGTATCCAAATCTAGACATCTAGCAAACAAATATATTCTTCCCGTGTACACAACAAATTGAAAAAATTTCATAATGAATACCTAACGCTTGGAATACCCTTACAGTAATAAATACAGCAGACAAAACGGTGACAGATTTAACGCAGTGTCAAGAGCATTATGCATTTTCATCCATATGTGCGCATTTTTAAACATAAACTGTCGGATTCAGATTTTATGCTTGGTAGGGAAAAATCTGAAAGTTGACAAGGGCCACACTGAATGACTTGGTGGGTCGGGTTGTGGCCCGCGGGACTCCTGGTACACCCCCTGCTTCAAAACAATATGCGATTCGATTCCGGATATTTCCGCAACTAATCCATTACTCGATTTCAAATTCACAGTACTTAAAGACAAAAGAGCTCTCCAGAAAACTATTGTCCTGCGGAACCGGTTCTTAAAATTTTGAATCTCGTTTATGTATTCGTATTTTGCACGTTTTTGGTGTTTTTTCACCGTGTTTTGCAAGGTCTTTGGTGGTTTTTAACGGGTTTTTCACGTTTTCACGTTTATCCATCATCGCCTATGAGTACTGCTGAATCATTGTTAAACGGAAGACACATACTCCGTACAGTGATAATTGGTGGTTTAATGACTTCAACATGCGACGCCTATGAAAACTTGATTACCACCCTGCCATCCGGCAATTAAAATGTGGGCGGCCTCTAACGTATGTTTATTCTGATTTATGATAAATGCAAACTTCAAAATGTGCTAAAAATAGTGTATTTTTAGTGTGTTAGATCAGATGGCGGTTGAATCGTTCGATTTAATTATGTTGGCTTTCGGGGGCGTGGCCGAGCGGGTTGAGATTTGAAACCCGATAGAATCAGGGATGGCGAACAATTTTCAATGAATGGGTCAAATAATATAATTTTAACGCGGAATAGTTGAGAGGGGGTCTCAGATATTCAAACAATGTTTATATATATTTATAAACTTCTTCATATAAGCTTCTGGTGTAGTTTTGGGCTTTACTTATGCACCAGGGACTTTATATGGCGCTCGATTTTATGAAATTAGAGTACGAAAACGCGAATATGAATTATCAAAAAGGTTTAGGAGGAAGCGGCAAATTACTTCACAGTTCCAAAGAGTTTGGGGGGATTTCCACTCTGATAGTGTTATATTTTTCGATCAGCTTTCAACCACACTAAGGCATTTTTACACTGTCCCATTGGTATTTCAGATTTCTAGGTTTTTATTTCAGTGGTAATTAGTGGTTTAATGACATTAACATGCGACGCCTATGAAAACTTGATTACGACCCTGGCATCCGGTAATTAATATGTGGGCGGCCTCTAACATATGTTTATTCTGATTTATGATAATTGCAAACTACAAAATGTGCTAAAAATAGTGTATTTTTGGTGTGTTAGATCATGGCGGTTAAATCGTTCGATTTTACTATGTGGGCATTCGGGCGCATCGCCAGGGATCGTTGAGATTCGGAACCCGCTAGACCAGTGGTTATCAAACGGTAGGGCGCGCTCAACAAGAGTGGTTTTGAGGGGGCGTGATGCTGATTAAAATTAAAAAGTATTTGTTAAATTTGATCTTGCCCGCCCTATTTGTTTTTAAACTTTTCATTTATTTCACTCTTTACGTTCCATCCAAGTATTTTCAACGTGTTTTTTCAATATAACATACTTTTATCCAATAGCTTATCGTAAGCTAGTCATTTTTGAGATGGGCGCGAGACTTGTACTAATTCAAAAAAAGGGGTCGCGACTTGAAAAGATTGAGAATCACTGCGCTAGATGATGCTTCTAAATTTGCGATCAAAAATGTCAGAAACCTCCCCTTCCCCTCTGAGAATTGCTTTTTTGTCATTGCTGCTTGAAGAATACTAATTTGGGCTACATGCAAGTAATAGATCAGGAAGGCAATACCCAATCAAAAGTATCTCTTATCTTACATATAAATGACTACTAACTACTAAATTTGATGAGCAATACTATATCAGAAATATTCTGTTTCCCTCACTAATTAGTTGGACTTTAAATATCAATAACTACTGCCTGCGTGGAGCCTTGTTCAAAGTGGAGGCAAAAAAAAGTCAGATAAAAAGTCGAACCCTGTGGATATTGTTTTTCATATTTTTATACATGTTAGCTTAGAGCAGACATGGGCAAACTACGGCCTGCGGGCCAAATCCGGTCCGTTGGGTAATTCAATCTGGCTCGCCTGATGCCGTCACAACCAAACTAAAACCAAATTTTGCTTTTTTAGCAAAAAATAATTCAGGAATTTGTTGAGATGCCAATCAAATTGATTTTTGGCACAAAGTTTCTCGTTTTCCGCTTTTGCTTTTGTGACACTGTAAATATTGTCCATAAAATGTAATTTTTACTTCATAAATACACGGCCCGTCAGTCTAGATGGGCACAATTTTTGGCCCCCGGCCCGAAAACCTTGCCCACCCCTGTCTTAGAGCATAGGTTCTGGAAGTGCTCTATACGGAACCCCAGGGCCTTGTGAAAGAAACCTAGAAGCTCCCAGAGCTATTTGTTTGCTTAAAGTCATTTTTTTTATATACATCAGCTGAGAACAAAATCCATATCTTTAACTAATAGGTTTATTCATTATTAATGAATGAATCCTAAGCAGGCATCCATGACGCGATAAAGTATATACAATATACGCGTACTCTACCAATAGAGAAGTGGTAATGTTCAACGGCCCTGAAATCACGCAGTCTATTCGCCGCCAATTTCATAAGTAGAAAGAATTTGGAATATCGTTTTTCATGAGATATCGTATTCATGTTTTCGAATTATAATATTAGGTTTCAATTTAATATTCTTTTAAAACATGAGAAATGATATATATTTAATAATTTCGAATTCTACAAAATTATTTTGATTACTATTGGCATACGTATTTAAATGAGATCAAAATCACTTAAAAACCGATTCCACGCGGGAAAATGTTGTTGAGGTTCTTTGAAATTAAAAAAAAAGAGTTGTATTCTTTTGCCCTAAATAAAGGAGTTTTTCGGTTAATGAGACATTTTTGCAAGATTTTTGGTAAATTTATACGTTTTTTTTGCACGTTTTAGAACAGCGTTCAATGCTCCTTCACTTTAAGTAATGCTGTTTAAAATTAGAAAAAAAAAATACAAAACCTCACATTCTCTTGCCCCCAATTAATAAAATACCCGACCCCCGTCTCTTTAGAAAAAAACGCTTTTAAAACGGCTAAGTAGTTGTATTTGCAATATCAAATCATGTCTCAACAAAAAACAGCCTAGAAACATCTCAAATTGAACAATCTATACGCGTTATTTTTTGGAAGCTTACCAGTTCACCAGATATCAGATAACTCCAGACCTGGCGCAATTTGATGCTAATAGGTTCGTCAATACACAACCACACCGGAAGTTTTTTAATATCAGCTTTCAAATACGGAGGTCGCGACCTGCGACCAAAAGTGCAAACTTAGTGCAAAGGACGACTTTTCTGCTTAGAGCATGGGCGTTTCTAGAGAGGGCCATAGGGGCAGCCGTCTCGGGCAGCACGATGTAGGAGTGAGTTGGTTGCTTAGTTTGATGATTCAAAAAAGAAATGAAGATATTTCACTCTTAATCAACCTTTAATTTATTTAATCTCAAGTATACAACATGTATAATTTTGTTTTTGCTGAAATTGTTTGTTGAGTTTAGTTATAAAGAACAATACCACCAGAAACCCGATTTGGGTAGAAGAAAAGTCTCTCAACATGAAAATGTCAGTTAATATCGATATATACGACACATAAAGTACTTAAAACTCAAAACAGCTCGTCCGAATTAAATGCAAATACCAGTTCATGAGATATCGTATAACGCCAGACTTTTCGAAATTCAATGCGCTGGTGCCACTAACACAAAAACAGCTCAGAGTATTTCACAGATGAGAAAAGTCAAAAGTTGAACTTTTTTGCAATTTAAACTAAATTTTTAATAAAGCTTTCAGGTATGCCGGGGTCAAAATGATTTGTTAAACTACATCT